GTGACCGTAAATATCCTAACAACACATCCTATATATAATAATATTACCCAAAACAGTAGGAATATTAATCCAGCGAACTGAACCTCACCCATGTGAATCAAAGTAATATATATTATATATATCTGCCTGTTTAATATCTTACGGGTTAAAAGAACGCAATAATTAACCGAGGCCTAGTTCATTTACGACGATCATATAAAATGAACTTCTCCTCTCTGGGATCCTGTTCAATACATAAATGTACTAGTGCAACTAATCAGTCAAGACAAACTGTAAAGTTGACACTACAACCGTTCATATGGGGTGTTCATGTCCATCTAGGTTGTGAACAACTATTCTTGTTCGCAAGTGACTGATAGAGTGATCTTCGATTCGCCCGATGATGACCCACTCTATCTAAGTGCAGAACAACAGAACGTAGAACTTGTTTAATCTTACATGATTCTCATTCATAAAGGGTAAATGTGTAATACCATGCAAAGCCAAGCATTCAGTATATAACACTAATAAGCTGAGGCCCAGCAAGAAGACCACAACGGAATGGAAGTCGATCTTCATCGAGAATGGATTAAGATGTGACCTTCTTTTCATTCTAAGTTCTAATGTGGAGGTCGAATTCAGGGTTACAAGCAGGGTTAAACGGAAGAGCCTCGAGCTAATGGGTCGAGGCAAAAGGAAATGGAGAAGAAGGTCAAATATAGAAAATTTTTTGCTTCCATTTAAGGACGTTGGAAGGAATGTCGGATAAGAATTTGGATTTATACGGCCTTGGAGGTAGATCCCTCGTTTTGGTTATTGGTTATATAAGTGATATAGCCATACTTGTGAACCGGAGTCAAGTATATAGAGGTCCAAGAGAACCAAGGAAGAGCAACTTGAGGAGGTCTAGACGAGGCTTGAATGTCTCGGCAACTAAGTATGGGAAGTAGACATGCACTCTGTAATTGAGTATGAGAAGCTCTACACGACTAAGTATGGGAAGTAGACATGCTCTCTGTAATTGAGTATGAGAAGCTCCACACGACTAAGTATGGGAAGTAGACATGCTCTCTGTGACTGAGTATGAGAAGCTCCACATGACTAAGTATGGGAAGTAGACATGCTCTCGGTGACTGAGTATGAGAAGCTTCACACGACTAAGTATGGGAAGTAGACATGCTCTCTGTGACTGAGTATGAGAAGCTCCACACGACTAAGTATGGGAAGTAGACATGCTCTCTGTAACTGAGTATGAGAAGGTCGAGCTGCTCTAAGAAGATAAGTAGAGGTCATCTCGACCTACTAGACCTGCGAGAGGTCATCTCGACCTGCTAGACCTGCTAGAGGTCATCTCGACTTGCTAGACTCATCTCGACCTGATAAGACTTGCCAGAGGTCATCTCGACTTGCTAGACTCGTCTCGACCTGCTAGACTTGCGAGAGGTCATATCGTCTCGACCTGCTAGAGATCATCTCGTCTCGACTGGACAAGAGGAGCTAGAGCTCATCTCCGCTACTAGACATCTCCGCTACTAGACCTCTCTGCTACTAGACGTCTTCGCTGCTAGACGTCTCTGTGACTAGAGGTCTCTGCTACTAGACCTCTCCGCTATTAGACGTCTTCTCTACTAGACGTCTCCGTGACTAGAGGTCTCTGCTACTAGACCTCTCCACTACTAGACGTCTTCTCTACTAGACGTCTCCGTGACTAGAGGTCTCCGCTACTAGACCTCTCCGCTACTAGACGTCTTCGCTACTAGATGTCTCTGTGACTAGAGGTCTCTGGTACTAGACCTCTCCGCTACTAGACGTCTTCTCTACTAGACGTCTCCGTGACTAGAGGTCTCCGCTACTAGACCTCTCCACTACTAGACGTCTTCTCTACTAGACGTCTCCGTGACTAGAGGTCTCCGCTACTAGACCTCTCCGCTACTAGACGTCTTCTCTACTAGACGTCTCCGTGACTAGAGGTCTCCGCTACTAGACCTCTCCACTACTAGACGTCTTCTCTACTAGACGTCTCCGTTACTAGACCTCTCCGCTACTAGACGTCTCTGTGACTAGAGGTCTCTGCTACTAGACCTTTTCTCTACTAGACGTCTTCTCTACTAGACGTCTCCGTGACTAGAGGTCCGCTACTAGACCACTCCGTTACTAAACGTCTTCGATACTAAACGTCTCTGTGACTAGAGGTCTCTGCTACTAGACCTCTTCGCTACTAGACGTCTTCTCTACTAGACGTCTCCGTGACTAGAGGTCTCCGCTACTAGACCTCTCCGCTACTAGACGTCTTCTCTACTAGACGTCTTCGTGACTAGAGGTCTCCGCTACTAGACCTCTCCGCTACTAGACGTCTTCGCTACTAGACGTCTCAGTGACTAGAGGTCTCCGCTATTAGAGGTCTCTGCTACTAGACTTCTCTGTGACTACAAGAGAGGCAGTAATTGGATAACAAGGAATCTTGAGCTGACTAGGAGGTAGATGGAATGCAAACCAACCAGGGCATTTTGGACACTTCAGGTAAACCGACCGGGGCATTTTGGGTACTTCAAACAAGTAGTTCCCTCTATATAAAGGGGCTGAGGTAACCCTAAACCCTAACCTCTACTCATTCTATACACTTTCCATCTCTCTGCTGCTGCTGCTCTCTTAGAGCAACTCTCTCCCCCACATTCTATGCATTTCTACATGCATCACAACTCTACATCACAGAGCTTCATCTTTCTCTCCTCTGTTTACTGACTTGAGCGTCGGAGGCCCGACGCCGGGACCTCTCCCGGCGTTGGGTTCTTACAGGTGTTTGCGACGGTCTAGCAATGATTTGAAGGCGGTTCAAACAGATCGGAGCTCACAACAACCGGTTTACTCCAGATCTGGAAGTAGACCCATCAATAAGAATAAAGAAAAAATCTAGGTTTATTCAACATAGTCTAATGAATGAAAGAATAGAAAAAAAAGATAAGGTGGCGAATGGAATTAAGGGGAATTGGTTTAAAGAAAGACCGAAAATAATGCACAGGTCGATAAGGGGCTGACAAATGGGGAACCTAAGACCCAACTCGACTTGGTTCTAGAAAAAAGTATAACAGTCTAGGGGTGGATGATCGTACACGTCTGAAGGTCAGAGAACGACATACCCCCAGTTAATAGGTAGATGAGAGCAATAGAAGAACTCCTCAATCCAAGCAGGATTGGCTCGAATAAAGTCACTCAGTTGGCGAACAGAGGCAAGTTGGGTCGGGGAACTTGGTCAAGAGGAGACTCCATATTGATTTCCTCATCGGTGACATCATCTTTGATTTTCTAGAAGAGGTCGAAGACTGGAAGAGAGACTGACCCGACAGGTCAAGAAAGCAATCTGGCGCAGAGGGGCGAAAGAAAGTGAAATAGGTTGAAGTATCAGACCATCTTTTCCCTCAGAATCAGGCTCATCGAATATTTTGAGGGGTCGACAAGAAGGACGAGCAGAGGAAGATTGGGCGGCTTGAGCAGGCGAGGGCATAGTCGGAGAAGGGGGAGCGAGGACCGCGGAAATTGGAATTGGATGCAAAATGACCCCGAGTGAAGGGGTAGGAAAAGGAGTGAACAGAGGCCGGGAGGTCAAAGAGAATGAGGGAAGAGTCATATCCTTGTCGGAGAATCTGTCGACCTCAATGGAGGTGGCAGAAAAAAGGAAACAAAAAGGGGAGGGGGAATCATGGTGTGATTGGATATGGATTTGATCTAAAAAGACTAATCATTTTTAACATTATTTTTTTGAACTCAACTTTAACACAACCCCCTTATTCTCAATATTATCATAATTAAATAATATCAACCATCACTTCGCATCATCTCTCTCATACTTTTCACATGAAATCAACTTTAAGTATTTTATTTTAAATATTATTTCAATATAAATTCAAAGCACACTACCAACTAATCATATCACATTTTTCAAAATAAGTTATGGTTAACAAAAGAACCTATCAAAACCAAATCAAACCTATATCCAGTCCCACCCTAATCTGTTAGTCATGTTATCAGGAGTTAGAATCAAGAAAAACAAATTATAAAGAAGACTTCATACATAGACAATACGTAACCTCTGATGAAGAGATGATGCTCAAAAGTCAACGCACAAGCAAAAAGATTTCACTCATTACTGCTTTCCACACCCCTTTCAGGCCACCTCGACTTATGATGCGGAGATCCAGACGCTGCAAATCGGTTTCAGATCGCAGCCTATATCTCTTCTCACATTTGGATTGAGCTGGATGTCGCCGTTGTTTCGCCCGCTTGACCTCAGGCCACCAGGGTTCGTGGCAGATTCAACACCCACTCATGCGCATTAGATCCACACTCCAGTCGATCCGCTACCGGAACCGACCCGCTGACTTCTTTGCTTGCACCGGTGCCGCCACTCCCTAGATGTGTATTTCTCAGTCGGACGAAGCCCCTTTCCGCCTCCGCATGCTTTTGTAGATGGATCAGCTTGGTTACCAATCATTCAGATTTGGGTAGTCGTTTTGGTTTTTTATTTTAGCCCACTCGTGGCACATACTGTTTATCTAGGCACCTGTTAGCCCAGTTTTCAGATTTTTCGCTTTGACTGTTGTTTTCTTTTTCTCTCTTATGTTTCTGGCTTTGGTTGTTGTATGAACTTGTAGATATGTAATTTTCCAGCATATTTTGAGCATGATTATATACAGGTTAGAGGTCCTGCCTTAACCTCCTATCCTTTTCGGGTGTTTCCTT